AAAGGTGATATATAAACGTCAGTGATAATTATGCACCGAGGAAAAGAAGAAGATTCAAGAGCGATAAATTTTAAATTTTTAATTAATCTAAAATTTAGATTTTCGATTAATCTAAAATTTGAATTTTCAATTAATACCAACTTTAAATTTTCAGTTAATTTAAGATTTAAATGTTCAATTAAATTGAAGTTTTCAATTAATTTAAAATTAAAAATTTAGCGTTCCTAAAACTTCAGCATTTCCCCATTTTTCATTATTATAAGTAACGTTTATATCTCCTCTCTCCTACATATATATATATATATATATATATATATATATATATATATATATATATATATATATATGCATTTATCTGTTTTATTAATGAAACTTTACCTGTCAGTGTAACTGTTATCATTTCTTTTATCTTCACTATCAATTTGGCTGTTTTCCATTGACCTCATTATAAAAATTTATCTACGTAACCAACACCAGCTATAAACAGAAATATTACATATGACCTAAATCTTTCTATATAACCGTATATATATATATATATATATATATATATATATATATATATATATATATATATATAGATAGATAGATATAGATATAGATATATATATATTCTTCGTTGTCAAACTTTGAAGCAGAGACGCCATCAAAATCATGCTTTAACAAATTTCATCTGTCAGTGTGGGTTTGTTGCCCGCAGCAAGGCCTGCCTAGTATCACACTTATATATATAAAAATATATATATATGTGTGTGTGTGTGTGTGATTTGCGCGCGTGCTTTGTCAAGTTCTGAAGCCGAGACGCCATCAAAATCCTGCTTTAACAAATTTCATCTGTCAGTGTGTCTTTGTTGCCCGCGTATCACACTCATATATATATATATATATATATATATATATATATATATATATATATATTAAGGCATGCTATATTTATGGGTGAAAGTGCTCAATATGAGAGATAGATCGTATGTAAATAATAAAAGTGGACTTTGAAATCAGAGCCCAGAGGCGACAGTCTGATCCAAACTAAACGCAATCGTCAGGCTGTCGATTTCGACGTATGAAAGCCTAGCAGTTCACTTCTTTTAGAACCGAACCTCCAGCCAAGTATTGTTTAAAGTGGTGAAGGCTTCTTTGGCCGTACCTTTCACAATAGCTGCTAAAAGAGATCGTACACTTGTGTCACGAAGTCTACAAAACAGTCCTCTTGGGTTTGAATTCAAAACCTTCCTTCTCTCAAACTGGTTGCCAGTCAATACCAGAGGATCCTCCAGCCTATTCCCCCGGCTATTTAACCCATAATGCAATGGAGGACAGGGATTTGGTAGATACCCTTTGCCGAGGATATTTACGCGAAAACCAGGTCGGAATTCGAACACGGCTCAACGATTTCTCTTCCTGGGCCGTTAACGCTAACACACACACACTATATATATATATATATATATATATATATATATATATATATATATATATATATATATATTAATTTATATATATATATATATCATTAAAAACAACTGTTAAGGTACTGCGGTTAAGTCCTTTATTTATTTTTTCTTTATTATTTACACTATTCGGATTATTGTCCTCACCTTTGTCGCCATATTTAGTACAATGTTTTGGCCATTGTACGCTCCGGCCTTCGTCAGGTGTTTGGAATGTCGAACTAAACATTTTATTTCGCTCACTTGGGTAGACTGTTCTAGTTCCACGTGCCATGTTAAATGGATAAAGGTGTTAGTTAGATCCAGTGACAGGACCCAAAGAGTGAGTTCAATACCCGGTTAAGGCAGTGGAGAACTTGGAGAGGGGAATTAACAGGAAATAACTGATAATTGACACCTATTAAACATGGCACATGGAACTAGAACAGTTTACTCCATTGAGTGAAATAAAGCGTTCAGTTCGACATTCCCACCACCTGAAGAAGGCCGGAGCGTACAACGGCCGAAACGTTGTAATAAATATTGCGACAAAGATCAGGACAATAGTCCAAATAATGTACATAATACCTCATCTCAGTAATATAGACAGATATTAATTTTTCTTTAATTTTCTTCTCTGGACATAAATAATATAGAAATTGTCCAAATGTTTTGTATGTCCAACCGCATTCGGCTATACTTTTGTCCATTATCAAGGATGAATTTTATTTTTACTTTTAACTGAATGTATGGATCGTTTTATGTATGCATCTAGAGTTATAGGAATGTTTTATTTTCCAAACACGGTCAGTACATTGTGGCCGTTTTCATAGTTGATATTATTGAATGTTGGCTTTTTTTTATTATTAATAATGTTTCCATTATTTTTAGCCTTTATTTTACATATGGCTATGGCTATTTGTATTGTCAGCGGGTATGTTACGGATAAATGAGACTTAATTGAGCTATTATTTTAGTTGAAAACAAAAACGAAATTGTTAATCTCAAAACTACATTTGAATAAAATTCCGTCCTCAACTTTATCTATGAACTTAGTCAAAAAATGAATTCCTATTGCTGAACGTTCTTGTTGAGACTAGTAATAATATATTCACTACTTCGTTATATAAAAAAACCACAATTAAAAACTCTTGCCACTTTAATTTTACTAGTCAATGTCTTCTCAGATATAAAAGCGAACGAGAATTCATCCTCTCGTCTTCTTTTCTTTAAAGAACTTAACATCGTGAAAAAAACACTAGTTAATAACGGTTTTCCAAACCATCTTATAGATCACTATATTTTTCTTTCTAAGATAACCAATAGCAACACTAAAAATAAGAAAAAAAAAACAATAACATTAACATTTTCTAGAAAAATCAAATGTATGGCAACTATAAGTAAATTGAATCTTTCCTTAGAACCATTATAAAGAAATACACAATTCCAGTTGACAAAAACAAAAAAATAAATTAATATAAACCATTTTAAAATACTAACCTCATTGTCAACAATAATGAATCACCTGCAAGAGCCAAATTACAGAGAAACAATTTTATTTACGAATTCACGTGTCCCTTAAGGAACTGTATTCCTGTCCAATCTAAATTCACAAATAATTATATCTGATATACTACTACATGCCTAACAAGAAGACTCACGTTACATCTCTCTGACTATCGCTCAATTAGGTCTCATTTGAATACACATGGAGGCCTACCAAATTATATCTGTAACATATCCGTTGATAACGCAAATATGATATCGTCATAACATGTAAAAAAAAGGCTAAAAATAATGGTAGCATTATTAATAAAATAAAAAAAAAGAAAATACCAACACTCAATAATATTAACTATGAACACGGCCAAAATGTGCTGACCGTGTTTGGAAAATAAAACATTCCTATAACTCTAGATGCATAAAACAAACCATACATTCAGTTAAAAACACAAATAAAATTCATCCTTGATAATGACTAAAACTATAGCCAAAATCGCTCAGACACAAAGAACATTCGAACAATTTCTACATAATTTACTGCCCAGAAAAAGAAATTTATAACATATGAAAAATTAAATAAAAAACTTAATCGCAGTATCTTGTCTGTCGTTTTCAATGAAGCTTTTATAAAAGAGGGATTGCTGCCCAAATACACAATTTTATATATATATATATATATATATATATATATATTGTTTTTATTCAAATCTACTTCCACGGACAAAATCAACTGTCATATTTAAAAATTAGAAAAAATAGAGAAGAGTCGTCATGAACATTTCCGGCATTGTTTTGGTAATAGACTCCCTTTTTTGTGATGGTTTTCACCGTTTCCATCTTATTTAGAAAAAATAATTTCGAATTATGGACCTAATAAATAGTGTAGAATGCATCGACTGGACATTTGTGGATACACCATCAACAACAAAGAAAGAGTTTAATTTTTTAATTCCTAGAAGGATTTGGATGAAGAGAAATCCTTCAGAAAAATCCATCCAAAATGAACCTATTTAGTGATCAACATTCTCTTCATATATCTCTCATTATTCGGCATTATTATTGATCATTTGATGACCATTTTAATTAAGTTTTTGGAAAATGTCAGTGAAAAATTACAATTATTCTTTTTCTAGTCAGATTTTCTTAGAAAAGAAGTTAAATATCTTGAGTAAAACAATTAATAAACTTTTTCGAGTTTTTAATCAGTAAATCAAACAACTACAGGTATAAACGGGTGATTTCAGACCAAAGTTAATTGCACAATACAGAAGAGCAAAAATGGCATATGTTGCTTTGATTGATAAATGACATTTGATAAAAGCTAGCAAGTCATCGGGAATATATTCAACGGAGTTTGCGTATTTGAATGACGCCATTTTTTTTGGGGGGTGAGTTTTCATTGCAAATGATGTTCAGGAGAACACGCTTCCTCAAGTCCATCTTTCTTTTATTGTTTATTTATAGAAATCTCACCTCTATCTCCTTTCCTTTCGACTTTTGTTTCTCATACTTGATATCCTATTTTCTTCCTTTCTCTCTTTAAAATATCTTAATTCTAGTATTCATCAGTTTCTTTTTGTAAAATAAAATAAATCTGTCTCTCTACCTCTTCAAAATAACCCACAAGCTATATATGAAAACTCCGTTTTCTTAACTGTTTTAGTTAAGCTAAAACAGTTAAGAAAAACAATTTTAGAAAATCTCCTCAAACAACAGCAACAGACCTAACATGTTTGACTTTTTCCGGAGAGTCTCAAAAAATTCAATCATTACATTTTACCTCATGCATTTTCGCTAAACTTAATTAAAATACCTATAAGCCGATTAATGCGACCAGGTGTCATCAGCGATAGATGAAGAGAAAGTCAATATAATTAGGGACGTTAAGAAGGATTTCTTCTGGAGGAGTCTTCCTTAAATTATTCTACAGACATATATCTGTGTATTTTAGATTAGTTTATATGAACTTACATATGTCCTAACATCGCTTCCATAGATTATGTATGTACGGAATTCCGTATGTCCTTATTTGAAAACCCTACAGCATATCTCTTTAAACATTTTCATATGTACCCTCCCACATTTATGACCCCCACCACAAAATCTCTTTCCATATCTCCTTACATCTTTTCATATGATCCCTCCCACTTTTCTATATCTCCTTATATCTTTTCATATGACCCCCTCACACTTTTTTCTATATCTCCTTACATCTTTTCATATGACCCCTCCCACTTTTCTATATCTCCTTACATCTTTCCATATGACCCCCTCACACTTTTTTCTATAGCTCCTTACATCTTTTCATATGACCCCTCCCACTTTTCCATATCTCCTTACATCTTTTCATATGATCCCTCCCACTTTTCTATATCTCCTTACATCTTTCCATATGACCCCCTCACACTTTTTTCTATAGCTCCTTACATCTTTTCATATGACCCCTCCCACTTTTCTATATCTCCTTACATCTTTTCATATGACCCCTCCCACTTTTCTATATCTCCTTACATCTTTTCATATGACCCCTCCCACTTTTTCTTTATCTCCTTACATCTTTCCATATGACCCCTCCCACTACTTTCCATATAACCCTAAATCTTTTCATATAACCCCCATAAAATCTCTTTCCATATCTCCTTACATCTTTTCATATGACCCTTCTCACTACTTTCCATATAACCCAACATCCTTTCATATGACCCCTACAAGATCTCTTTCCATATCTCCTTACATCTTTTCATATGACCCTTCTCACTACTTTCCATATAACCCTACATCTTTTTATATGACCCCTACAAGATCTCTTTCCATATCTCATTACATCTTTTCATATGAACCCTCCTACTTCTTTCCATATCCCCTTACAGAAATTTATGTGACCCTTTAATATTCTGACTTATATTTTTTCAAATGAATCAAAATAACATTTTGTAAGAATTGTCTCTTTTTTTTACTTCAATTAAAAATTGTAAATTCTTAAACAATAAAAACACTTCTGAACTGAAAATTTATGATGTAAAAGGTTTAGTTTTCTTAAAATAATCTTTAGACAAATTGTAATAGATTTTCTAATTTCATTTAAAAATGAATCATTCTTTCCAAATTGAAACTGAATCATATTGGTGAATAAATTTGAAAAAGAATTTAAATTATTTTCAATTACAAATCAGAATTAATTAAAAGAATCTGATCAATTGTATATCAGTGTATAAGAGACTCTAATTTAGATATCTCATCCTGATCCTGAGCTTGACAACTAGAAGCTTTAGTGATCAGCCATTTATTCATTCATACCTCTAGAACATTAAGCACAGTTTTGTATTTCAAAATGTTAATGTTTTGTAAAAGAAATCAGTTTGGAATAAATAAAAAGAACTCTAACATTTCATCATTTTTTACACTATTTACATTATTTGGACTATTGTCCTCATCTTTGTCGCAATATTTATTACAACGTTTCAGCCGTTTTACACTCCGGCCTTCTTCAGGTGGTTGGAATGTTGAACTGAACCCTTTATTTCACTCACTGGGGTAGACTGTTCTAGTTCCATGTGCCATGTTTGATGGATGTCAGTTATCTCCTGTTAATTCCCCTCTCCAAGTTCTCCACTGCCTTAACCGGGTATTGAACTCACACTCTTTGGGTCCTGTCACTGGATCTAACTAAAGCCAAGGACACATGGCACAGTGGATAAAGGCATTAATTAGATCCAATGACACGACCCAATACCTAGTCAAGGCAGTGGAGAATTCGAAGAGGGGAATTAACAGGAGAGAACTGACAACTGACATCCATTAAACATGGCACATGGAACTACAACAGTCTACCCCAGTGAGCAAAATAAAGGGTTCAGTTCGACATTCCAACCACCTGAAGAAGGCCGAAGCATACAACGACTGAAATGTTGCAATAAATATGGCGACAAAGATGAGGACAATAGTCCAAATAATGCAAATAGTGTATACCTCATCTCAGAAATAAAGACAGATATTGTCATTTTTATTCATCAATTTATAGACAGAAATTTCTGTTTAAAATACTTGCAATATATTTGGCACTAGGCTGAAAACATTTTAACAAAATAACTAACACAAATATTCACCATGCATTTTTTCAGGTAGTCCTTCCTTAATCTAATATTTAGCCTAGACTGCCATAAATGATTTGTATTTCAAGAATATTCTGAGAATATTCCATGCAGAAAGGAGGATAAGTTTTTTTTTTATTTTTCTTCCTCCATCTTTAAAGCAATCAAGGTATCTTCATCCCTATTGTCAAATATCAATAATTTTAGCCACATTTTCACATTAGAAAATATCTATACATATCATGATGAGTTGTATAAGATTTTAAAAGAATGTAAATGCATGTAAATGAATATGCCAATTATTATTTCTTTAGAAATCCTATTAGCAATCAAATGGTAATTGCTCAACATTTTAATCCTATATTTCAAAGAATGTTTTCTTACTTCCTTTTTCTTTATTTTTGGATATTTTTTGCCTGTTTAATTTTTGGAAAGAGTTTTCTTTTTTATCTCTTTCTTAAATATTTATGCGAATCCTTAACTGTTGTGGAGGCTAACTTTTAACATTTTTTTTCTTTCCTATTTTAAAAAATTTTTGGTAGGATTTTTTTTTTCATTATTTTACATTTTCGTATAGTGAGGATAGTTTTATTTTCTTTTGAGAGAATTTAAGTCATTTCTGATTTTGCAAAGTGATTTCTCACCAAAGAATTTTAACAGATGATAATTTGTACTTTTTTTTTGACAATTATTTTTTATTTTTTTTTTTTTTTTTTTTTTTTGAACGAAATTCCGCAAATGTTTCCCCAAAATATTTCTTCATATTTTAATAACAAATTCAAGAGTCCCTTAGATTTTTGGTTTGACAAGAATGTTCACCCAAGAATGACCGAACGTAACATGCAACATTGCGGAATGTCACAACTGTCAAATGAACTTACAAACTAAAATTCCTAAACTGTACAGATCTTTCACTTGGAACTTTCAACCATTGTTGTTGTTGTTGTTGTTGTTGTTAATATGGCTGTCATTAATTTTCTGATTTCGCTCATTTTTTTCCCATTTATTCTATTAATATTTATTATCATTAATGATTATGAAGAAAATAAAGAAATGTTAAATCAAGTCTTTGTTTGCCGTGTATTAACTTTTGAACTTTGATTAAAATGGGTGAAAGAAACAACTTGGGGAGAGGCAAACATGAGACGCAACTATGGATGCATGAAGCTTAATGTGTTCTTGAATGTTCATCAAATTCCATCAACATGTTGGAGAAAATAACGGTAAAAAAAAAAACCTTTACACACACACACACACACATTTTTTGGACACACACACACATATATATATATATATATATATTATGAAATGAACAAAAGTCCCGACAATTATTTTTAAGACATTTTATGTTTATACGTTCTTTTTATAGATACAAATATTTAAGTAAATGCTATGTTTATAATAAACAGTATTAATAACATTTACCAGCCTGAATGTCCAAGAAATTTTCATAGAACATATATTGCTAATCACATATATTGCCAATCGAACAATCATCTGTGGCTCGATTGGTTAAGGCACATCAGGCTATATGACGGTTCCATATAGGATACAGGTTCAATTCCTGTCAGAGGACGAATATTTTCTATGAAAATTTTCTTGGACATTCAGGCCGTTAAATGTTATTAATACTGGCCTCGCTTCTTGAAGATGATTCCTTATATATATAAGTAATGAAAAGTTTGATAACCCCCAAGATATATATAGATAATCCCAAGAAGGGTGTAATCCAGAGAGCTCAATGTGAAATCAGAGCAATTATTAATTCAATTTAAATAGAAAACTTAAGGATCCATTGATTATAATTTATTTCTGCAATAAAGTGTCTTTTTTTCTGGGTCATCAGATCACACTTCCAATGATGAAAAAATGTTTTAAATTTACATATAGTTTTTATACACTTTTGAGGCTAGTTTTAGTTGATGTAAGGTGATATAGAGAGATGGGGAAGAGGAGTATGACAGACATGGTTGAAATTAGAGAGGGAAGGGTTATCTGTTTTCTATTTAAATTGAATATATATATATATATATATATATATATATATATAATTTGCTTTTGTATAAATAGACATAAAATATATACCTGGATGTTTTAATATATGCATACATGTGTGCATCAATTAAAACATATGAGTGTGTGTTCATAAACATCTTTATTTATATGTATGATTATAAATAGGTACATGTGTATATTTATGTATATATTTTTTTTCTGACAAAAAGTAAGTACATATGTTGGTTAGATGACCATAACATTATCAAGACATCGTACACGGCATTTGTCAGACATATGTCCTATTACCCAATATCTAAAAACACATTCCTGTCCACCTTCAACAATACAGGAAAATACTTGTTGACAAAACCAATATACTACACCATGAATATAATAAGCAAAAACTTTAAATTCTTGAGGCCCTCTATATCAAAAGCAACCAACCAACACTCAACAAAATTTCTTACAAATATAGCAACAACATATTAAAGTGCATATGACATTTAATGCCATTTTACATTTCTACCAATTTCCACTCATCTCCTTTATATTGAAATGCTTGTTTTGCAGATGAATTGCGAAGACAAACTTAATTTGACTGTAATCATTATGATAGTGACTTTGTAAACACATGTGAACACATTCTGATATAATTATTTTAAATTTAACTGTTGTGGTTGCAATATTTTGTAAACAAGCGCCATAACCAGAGATGGTAAATTGCAAAATGCTGTTAACTGTTAGTAAACTCATATGCATTTTAAAACATTTCTGCTATACTCATAATAAATTTTGTTCAGTCTTGGTTGGCTGCTTTTGATATATAGTATATTAAATTTAACAACCAACTTAATCACATATAATAACTCTTCTCCGGCAACTAGTGTTTTGGAAAAGACCAACATTGTATATCAGTTTAAATGTCCTTTGGGAGATTGTATCTATGACATAAAAGTAAGTACATCTGTTGGCTTGACAACCACAACATTATCAAGACATCTTACACTCCATTTGTTGGATACAAGCACTATTGCAAAACATTTAGACACATTCCTGTCCACCTTCACAATACAAAAAAATACTTGTTGACAATGCCAATATACGGCACCATGAAAATAATCAACAAAAACTTCAAATTCTTGAGACCTTCTATATCAAAAGCAACCAAACAACACACAACAAATTTTATTACAAATATAGCAGCAACGTATTGAAATGCATTTAACAAACATTTAATGCTATTTTGCATTTCTACCAATTTTTGGTCAGCTCCCTTATATTGGGATGCTTGTTTTGCAAAAATTTCCATTGCTACACTGGATAAACTTCAAAATTTACAATAATTATAACAGAATGCATTCATACATGTTTTTTAAAAATCACCATCACAGACATCACAATTACAATAAGTTTACCTTTGTAATTCATTCTGAGGATGATCTTAGTAGAGGTAGAAAGTACCTTGATAGGAAAAAACTC